CAAACACATGCAAAGTAAGTTCTAATTACTGCCTTGCAAAGTCAAATATTTGTTGCAAGCAGAGGACTAATTGTGGGGGGAGGGAGCGGAAGTCGAGGCTCTTGGAGTGTAAGTGGAACAGATGCCCGGACGCCTTGGGGAAACGCAGCTTTCCTCTACAAATCAGAGCTTTAAATTACAAGGCTTTTACCAACGAGAACAGTTGTGGGAAGTCGTCTGCTCTCATTTGCGTAATGGCTTCTGTCACTGGTGATTAGACACAGGATGAAGGAAAAGAAATTTGACAATTAGGAATGAGCGATCATTAATCAGAATCTTTGTTAGAAGGAGGGAAGGGGGGGAGAATATCCCGCAAACAATGGAGGCAGCCACTAAAGCCATACTGAAGTCCATGAGATGCGTAACTCCGAGTGCTACTGTTGCTCTACAGAGCCGCTCCACCTAGGTACAGAGCAGCAGCAAGGGTCTTGGCTTGGTTGGAAAGCTTGCGGAGGAAGGCAGCTAGGCAAAATCCTTCCCATGCTGTTCAGTGGTTCTCAGCTACCTGCTTAATAAGGGAGAGAGCACATCTTGGAGCCCTCTCCTTGCCCCATCAACACCTTGCGCTTCCTTCTCAGTGCCTGGCTGCAAACTGCCAGCAAAAACCACAGAAACAACTTACTTAAATTTTTGCAGTCTCCTTTCCCCACACCTTGCATGCAGCCTTGCAGTTTTTGGTGCGGAGGAGAGCAGGCACGGGCCTTGACTGGCATGCAAAAAGATTAGGACGAGCAATGTGAAAGCAGTTCCAGGCTCTTTTCCTGATCATGTCATTTCCTACAAGAGCATGGAGGAACATGATAGACTGCATGACAGGTAAATAAAAGAAGGCAGTTGTGACTTCTCTGTGTCTGTTGTTTGCTGGCTTAGCTCATCATCCAGCCATGTACAATCCAGTATATGCATTTGTTTGGGTTTTTTGGCTTTTGATCAAATCATCGGTGCACATGAAATGTTACCTATTTTTCCTACAGCTGTCATTCAAAGTCTTAATGTCAGGTTAAACATTTTGGTGTAGTTTACACTGCCTCTGATGAGATCAACAGTTATAACTTGGGGGGATGCCAGACCATTTGTGGGGCATATAAGGTTGGTTGGTGCATCTCAAGTCTTAAGCTTACTGGATTAATTGATTTCAGTGACAACTCCTGTCTTTGCAAGGCTGGGTCATTCACTTGAGGCGTAGGTCTCCATCAGGGTAATTATTCTTTCTGTGACTGGAAATCAAAGCAGATACCTTCAAAGGGGAGAGCTGAAGCCATGTTGTCTCATTCCCAGCTGGCTCCGAGCTCAGACAAATGACAGCAGCTTGGATTTTCAGCCTCTTCCCGTGGCTAGTGGTGTTCACCACAGGAACTCAAAATGAAAGAGAAAACAGCGGATCTCAGGACAGTATCTAACAGGGCTTTTCATCCAGAGCTCATCAGGAGAGAAGTTAGGGGAATCATTGGTCGCATTGCTCGGTGTGGGGAGATGTGTCAGGTAGTGACTTTTATCCCCTCTTAAACATTTGAAGGGAGGGCTGCTTCCCATGCACAGCAACATTTTAAATGTATGTTTAAATTTGAAGGAGTGCACCTCATGCTTTTTGTGGATGATAAGGCAGCTTGTGGTGATGTAGGGCTGCTGTCAGAATTCACCTCACAAAATTGCTGTTCACCCTGAGAAAGCCCAGAATTTGACACGGCAGGTTATTGCCCTTGCTGTAGGAAATGTCACTGTGCTGGATGGCAGGAGCCACAGGTATGACTTTCATCTCGGAGTTTCAGTTGTGTTTTTTCCTGGATAGTCAGGGTTCGCCATCGGATGCCTTGACAGGGAGGACCTGTGGATGTGACTTGAAACCCCTTGGGAAGCCAGGAAGGGAGGAGAGTGCGTGCTATCCTGTACGTAGGTAATCTGTGTTACGAGATCTGCTGCACGGCCTCCGGTCCCTGAGCTGCTTAAGCACCGCTGGCCTCCTGCAGTGAGCTGTGTGAGGACTCTAGCTGAGCTGAAAGCAGCTAAAGGAGTGAGGTCAAATCATTTGCTTCTATAAAAGGACAGTCCCTGTGTCCACAGAGAGGGCACAGGGGGTTATAACAGCATCCAAGGGGGTAGTTTCTATGGGAGAGCTTAGTACCATGGGCGATGGACTGATTCTGCCCAGGCTTGTCTGCTCCAAGTTCCTCTGCCAGGACCTTTGACAGTCTCTCAGAAGCTAGTCCTATCCATCTGTGTTTCATGGGGGTAAAATGCTTCTGGCAACAAAGAATTACTGGTGCTGGTAGGTATTCAGGTCAAATGCCAGCCACTATAGGCTGTGGAGCTGGAGGGTACGGGGCGGTAAGGTCTTGCTTGGCGTTTGAGGTAATAAGCTTCTGGTCTGTCAGCTCACGTGAGCTGCAGAGATTTGTAGAGCTGGGAAGTCGCAGGGCTGTGTTACTTGGGCTGTCAGGTCTGAGACTGCTCTGGCAGGGCAGACCTTAGTGCTCTTTGAGCCTGTGTTCGGGGGTGGTGCCGACCTGGGGGGTGAGCAGGGGTGAGAATCTCCAAGTGGAGTTTGGGGCTCTGAAGGACCCATTCATCTGCCATCAGTTTACTCCAAGCACAGCCTAGGGCCTCTTGCTTCCGCCTCCTCCCCAGCACAGAGGCAAACCTGTGTCTCCTGCTTTTGCTGTTTGTTTATAGCTCTCCCCATCCCATCTGTCTTTCTCTCCTCCTTCCTCCCCTTCCTTTTCCCTCCCTCTCCCTCCTCCCCCTCATTCCCTGTAAGCGATTAATCATTTTGACAGGCTCGGCGATGGCCTTTTTTTCCTTGAGGCGGCCAAGAAATGTCTGTGAGCACCTTCTATGACACCCCTCGTGTTCTCTCGCCAATCAGATCAGCCACTTCGCTTGGAGTGCCACCAACAGGAATGCGGGGAGGGGAGCAGGGGGGGAAACTCCAGCAGAGCCAGCTGGGAAATGGGCAGTGGGGCAGCATCCAGTTGGGGTGCCATGTGGGCCCCCGTTAGCTGTGATGGATATGTCATTTCACTATAGCTTGAATGTGTCATACTTCGCTCCCTCTCTCTCCCCAGGCTCCCCTTCAAATTTCGGTT